GACAGACTTATTACAGGATTGAGACATGAGAATAAATAGTCAGAAACCCCTCGATGAACTCAGCACAGATGAGTGCGGGAAGGAAGGAATCTGTGGATGGGAAACCTCCATCCACTCAGTCACATTAAAGGCAATCACTTTAAAGAAAACGTCAATCACATTAACACCGCACACTTCGTTACTATCTTCTGCAGTCTCTCTCCATGCATCTGTGGGATTCCAGAGTGGAACTCATGACCATTTTTTAGAGGCAGGGTCAAGCCATGTTGCCCAGGCTGGAGGACAGTGGCTATTCACAGGCGTAACCACAGTGAACTACAGTCTTGAGGTCTTGGCCTCAAACCATCCTCCCACCTTAGCCTCCTGAGTGGCTGGGACTACAGTGGATGTCACTGGGCCTGGCTAGCCTCATGACCATTGCACAGGAAACATTACCCAATGCTCTCTTCCCTAACCGCATTTTGATGGTCTTGCCATACTGGCAAATTGATCCTGACTATGAACTTCAGTGGCCACATAACATTCCACAAAGAAGATGGACTATAGTTCAATCACTGTTTCCCTTGGAGCTCTCTTAACCACCCCTCACCACATTCAGGGGCACCAATTTCAGCTGAGGCCACTCCTGCCAGCCAGCCCCTCCTCCCACCAGGCCTACAGCGCTGCCTCAACCCAGGCTTTTACGATTCCTCCATGGTTCTAAAGTTCCTACAGAGCAGGGAGGATTCTCACCCACGCCCTCCGCCTGTGAGAACACGGTGGCTAGCGGTAGTTAGCTCATGTTTTCTGGGTGAGTGAACGAATGAAGACGATTTTTCCTCTACCCAGGAGAGCCTATTGGTGGGACCCTGCCAGCATCCTGATGGGGAAGGATTTGGGGCTGGGCATTTAGGGAGCTCTGACTTTCTGCTGCTGCTGCATCTTGGCTGCTGCCACACGCACAGATAACACAGAATGAGGAGTGCTTTTCTGAGGACTGTTTATTTCATCTTGCAGTTAAGGTGCTAAGGTTTAGAAGGGACCATGGCCCACCTTGGGTCTCACAGACCTGAGGCCTTCTACCTCCCTGACCAGGGCCTCTTCCTTAAATCACAGCTTCTCCAGACTCCACTCGCTTTTCAGCCTTTGTACAACCTGGCCAGGCCTTAAGCCTTTTGGCCAGCAGCTGCATCCTTTGGGTCTTGGGTCCTGGGCTGGCCTGGAGTTCCACCTCTGCATCTCAGCCTCATGCCAACTTTGCCAGCCCCATTCCACCACGTTCAGAGTCCTGCCCTGACCCACATCACCCCCCCGGACCAGGATACCACCAATTTCCTCTCCTCCCCGACCAGGAGCCTCTTTGCAATGCACAGACTCTCTGCTTTCCCATGCTCATCAGTGATGCTGGTCCCAGGGGGAGCCCCACGCAAGCCCCTCTGCACCCCAGGATATGAGCCACTGCCCTCCCCTGCCCCAGTGGATAAGTCTGGGTCCCCTAAAACTCTCTGCCTTTTCATCTTCATTAATAGACATCCTTCGCCTGAACCCAGTTCCCCTCTCTCAGACCAGCAGAGGAAAAATGGGGCCCCGCTGAAAATTTACTAACACCCACCCTGCTTTGTTCGGATGCCTGCATCCCCTGGCACTGCCCCCAGCCTCGGGCATGACACTTACCCTGTGAACCACATGGGATGTTGGGACCCCTTGGCTCCTCTCCCCCACCGGACTGCCAAGCCCTGAGTGGCCGCCCTCTCAGTCCCCACGCTCCCAGGGCCTCCACTGCAGATGGCCTGGGATCTGAGCGGACAGCTGCAGCAGTGTGAAGCCACCTTCAGGGGATGTGGGTGTCCAGACCAACAGCAGGCAGGACCCTGCAGACCCCAGTCTCATGTTCAATAATACTCTGTCTAAGAAGCCACTGAATTCTTCCCAAGCTCAGCACTGTCAATAAATGATCCAGCCTGGACCTGACAGAGAAACGATGGAAACGGGACACTCCCACGGAACCCCAGGAGCCTCCTTTCATACGACAGTCTGGATATTCTGGGATGAGTCACACTGTTGCAGCCTGCAGGATGTATACAATGGAAAGGGGATGGCAAACCAAGTGTACCTTTTGGTCAGAGAAGATGCGCTGGGACTAGCTGCCACTCGCTGTAGAGGGCTGGGGGCTTACTCACTCTTAATCCAAATGGCTCTTCCATGGGAAGCCTTCCTGGAGCTGTACACAGATGGAGTCTCCTACTTACATGGCTTCCTAGCATTCTCAGCTTCCTCTCCCTCACACTCGTGATGATCAGTACCTATAGAGTTGTTTGTGCAAAAGCTCACACGGGTGCTGGAGCTGTGCAGTGCACGTGGCTGTGACTCAGGACTGGCATCCAGGCTGTGCGGTGTCCTGAGCTCCTGCAGGCACCCTAGCAGGTGTGCAGTCAACATGGGCCAACACAGCAATTCAGGCAAGTCTGGGCTCCAGGCTGTGACTGTGGCTGTGATATATCCCGACCCCGGTTTACTAGGCTGCAAACATGGGGGCGTCCAAAGTTCACCCGGCCTGAGGATGAGGGCTGGGCACGTGCTTGGTGCCTGAGACTGTGAGTCCTGTACACAGTCTTGTGGGGAGCCGAGTATAAATGTGGACGATCAAAGCTTGTAAAGCCCCTGGCAGGGCACCCAGGGAGAGGGGTGGAAGAAGTGATGCAGGCAGAGACGGCGTCAGTATGGGCGCAACACAGAGCGGCATCTTGGAGGAAGAACAGGCATTTTCCAGCAGAAGGAGGACGTGTGCAGGGCCCAGTGCAATGCAGGACTAGGAGAGGAGGTTGCTCAAACTAGACACAGAGGAGGTGGGGATGGGTCTGAGGAAGCCGTGAATGTGGCCTTGGTCCTCAGGGACGCTGGACGTACACTGTGAGCCAGGTGAGCCAGCAGAGACCCTCCACAGACGAACAGCACGGCCGATGTGCTTCTGTTTTTTAAGAACCTTCTATGGCCAAGTGGAAGACAGAGGAGCTGACAGAGACCAGTGGCCAGGAGGACTCTGAGCAGGCACTGCTCCGGGGTGAGGCAATGGGTGTGGCAGGATCTGAGGGCCTAGTTGTTGGGGATTCTCCCAGGAGGATAGGGCAGGGAGAGGAGGGAGGCAGGGCTGTGCACGCAGGGATGCATTCTCCTCCTAACACCCCGGCATGCCAGGGGTCAGAATAGTTATGTAGCTACGGGCACGGTCTCGGCACCTCACCTGCCCACCACAAGAGCCCCAGTTCACATGAACGGCAGACTCTGCCACTCGGCCAGGACCACGGACCAGGGATATGTGGCTTCCCACTGGTGGCTGTGGGGCCTCCCGCGCCAACTGGGGCAGGGGCTGCTCCTCCCTGTACTAAAACCTCTGTGACTGATCTGGATGAGACCCAGTGAGTGGCAGCCTTCACCCTCCATTTTCACAGAAATGGTGCACGTTAGCCTATGATACAGCACAAATCTGAAACTCTTCAAATATTTCCAAATATCAAAGACTAAAATCCACTATGGGTACGAAACTGTACTAACCTGACTGAAAGTTTAAGGCATAGCTCCCAGCGAACTCCTGTGGAAAATATATCTTTATATTTTTCTGAGCAACGTTTTTTAAAATAAAGACAATTCTTTCTGAAAGGAAAACCCCGTGGAGTATCCAGGGAAAGGAAATTGTAAAACAACAAATACGCAAGTGACTTTGCATCTTGATAGCCCCCTGTCTTCAGGAAAACAGAAGAGGGAAGATACTTTCTCCTTTTACATCCAATCCCTCTACTTCGCTCCTATTTAAAAACCACTTTATTGAGGTCTGATTGATAGGCAAAAAGCTGTGCATGTTTAATATCTACAACCTGGTAAATTTAAAGACGTGGGCACATCCAGGAAACTACTGCCACACTCTATGGCTATGCCATAAACGTTTTTATTACCTACAAAAGTTTTCCCTGCTCTTACTGTTGTTATTTTTGTGTGATAAGAACATTTGACATAAGACCTACCGTCTTAGCGAATTTTTAATGATACATTACAGTTATATTAATTGTACAGATCTCTAGGACTTACTCATTTTCAACGGAAACTTTGTAAAAGCAGAGGCAAGAACTGCTCCTAGAACGGACCACCTATCTGCAGTGTGCAATCAATGGAGGGTCCCATCCCCAGGCTCCCAGGTGGAAACTGGCTGGGAGCAGGGTGGCACAGATGCCAGAGATACGCCTCCTGCCCCGCCTCTCTGCTCACCTGCCAGACCCCCAGCGCTCTGATGAGCAAAGCCGGCCCAGCCCTCCAGAACCCCTTGGCTCCCCGCTGTCATCAGAGAGCTCCCTGGCCTGTGCCCTAAGGGAGTCCACGCTACCCACCACAGTGTGTAGGCGTTTTAGACGGCTACAGCAATGTTTCATAAGAATTAAGAAACAGCTAATTCATTCCGGCCCTGGGATGCCACTTGAGCGTGATGTGCACTAAACAGACCAAATGCGACTTGGACAAAACCCTCTACCGCCGCAGTCTTTGTAAGTATCTGGAGTACTAGTAACTCCACCGTGAATACTTGCTGATTGCATGAATAAAGGGCAAAACATGAGAAAACAAAACAAATTATTAGCAATAATAAAATATCTAAGCAAATTACTGTTTAGTAATATAAATAGTATTTAGTCCAGAAGAATTAAGAATGGCAAAGGCATTACCGCTCCTACACAGAAATTTATATGTGAAATATGTTTAAGGAAAAAGGCAGAGAGCAAATAATATGCTTATACAAAGTACATCACATGCATATGTGGCACACTGATAACTGTGTAAGAATATATGGTGATGGGCGTACGATAACCTCACGTTTGTTATCTGCACAAATGCACAATGGAGATGGTCATCAGAACTCAAAAAATGAGTGGCACCCCTGAGTTCTCTCTCTTCTGGCACAGTCTGCAGCAGCAGTACCCTTTGTCGGCAGAGGACGCACACCGAGGGGAGGAGGGACAAGGACAGGGCTGGCTGACCTGGGCCAGGATTTGGGGGCTGCCTGGTGTAGGACACGTTGAAGGCTGGCTCCTCGATCAGTGGCGGGGGGTACATGCGCCTCCGGATGAAGAAGCCGGCTCCGCAGCAGAAGAGCACACCCATCATCAGGAGGAACCTGAGGAGAGTAGAGACGTGAGCGGGGCCCCGAGCACTCGGCCCTGCAGCTCAAAGGCCTTGCGCACTCCTCGGGGTCCAGGACCAAGACTCCTGAATGCACGGATTGGAGGGCAAGGGCAGAGCCACGAGGCTCACACCTCAGACTTGGTCCTCTCATTTTACCCAGCGACATTCCTCCAGTGGATGGCAGCAGGCAGACGCTTGCCCGTGGCCTCTGGACAGCCCCGGGTGAGGCCACCCACACCGAGAAGCACCGTAAGCGAGCTGTGCCTCAGCTCAAACAGCCAGTCAGTTTCACAAAGCTCAGGCAGTCACTTCCCTGCCCTCGGCTCTGACCTCAGCGGGACATTTTAGAACAGGAGATGCTGTCTCAGTCCTATCTGAGCACCACAGCCGACGCAGCCTGGGCCTCGCCGTCTGCCTCCTTTTTCTTCACTCTCAAAGCACCAAGGCGGGGCCCGTTCATCCTTCCAAACCGGGTCTCCATTGTCCCATGAACAGCCACAAGGAAACAAAAGAACGCTTCCTGGGGGGCACACCTTAATTACAGAGAAACTATGGGAACAGAAATACAATCAATCAAAGTGGAATCGATAGAAATACAATCTATCAATAGAAATAAAATACAATCAATAACAGAAGCAGAGCTGGATGCTTTAACGGCAGACCTCTGTCCAGCGCACCTATGAATTCTCATTGACTACGACTTCATAAGCATTCAGTAAATGTCTGCAGAATGAATGCAGAAATGGCTTCCTTCCATTCCTCATTTGCACTGTACTTTTTGTTTCTAGAAAAAGAGACACACTTTGAGAAGGACTATTAATTGACAAAACTGACAAACTGGCAAACTCTTGCCCATCTCTGGACTGAAATTATGACGGGCCCCATGGAACTGTCCAGAAGCCATGCAGACACCCACAGGGTGAGGGCAGCTGCTCCCCTGTGAGGATGGGCAGGCAGCAGGGCAGGTGGCGGTCAGTGGCACCATAAAAGAAGCTTAAGAGTAGACGATAAAGCCTTTGAGAATATTAATGTGATGTTAAGTGCAAGGCCATCAGCCAGTCAAAAAGTATTTACTGGATAACCCTGGAAGGCTTATCCAGGGAGAAAAGCCAGAGGCACAAGCCAGGAAGGACTCAGGAAACACTGAAACTGTGGCCTCTGCCATCTGCTCTCTTATTGATTATTCATTCAACAAGTCATCTTCAGGTGCCTGCTATGCCCTGTCACCACCCTGAGCACGGCAGTGAGTAGGCAGGTGAGGCCCCACTTCACCGACACTGAGCTGACAGAGGAGGGAGACAGATACCTACCTACAAACTGACAAGTGCTGAAAAAGAAAAATGGGGGATGCAAGAAGTCTGTGTGTGTGTGGGGGGGGTAAAATATACATAAATATAATTTACTCTTTTAATCATTTTTAAGTGTGTAATTCAGTGCACCGAGAGGTCTGAACAACGGTATCTGCGGTGGCGAGCAAGACTGGGAACTCTGGGTTTCCTTTTGTGACAGCTGGGCTGGGCTGTGAAGCGACAACCCGAAGGGGAGAAAGGTGGAAAGAACGCAGCCCAGGTGCTGGGGCCGGAGGAGCTCAGAGCAGGAGGCCTGGAGGCTTGGTCCCGAAGACGGGCAGAGGGAGCAGCCCTGGGGAGCCAGGGGGACCCAAACCGTTCAGGAGCACAGCAACGTAAGGCTTCACGGGCTCTGCATCGAGAAAACACTCAAGTTCACAAAGGGAACGGCTTCCTCTCCCAAAACTGTCTTCTCTCAGGCGGGCTCAGTAACAGTCTTAGACTCAACACTGAGTCCTGCTGTCAGTATCTGGGCAGAAATATTATACAAAGCATAGAGGGGCTGGATATGTACAGGGTTTACTTTCTCAGTGCCACTTCCAAGAGACAGGGCTCCCTGGCTTGAAAAATGCAGAAGGCACCTGAGATCCTGGCCTCATCCAAGAAATAAGCTAACTCCTGCCCAACAGGAGTGAGAAGATTTCATTTTTCTAGACAGAAGGAAAGGACATTGCAGCTCCCACCTTAGTCCGATGGAGAGCAAGCATAAGGCAAGGCCAGAACAGAGCCACCTGGGATCCACCTCATCCCTTACTGAAATCACAGTCTGATCATTTACTCTATTCGTTGATTTTAAAAATTTATTTAAAATAATTTCTGGTTGAGACAGGGTCTATGTTGCCCAGTGATCTCAAACCTCACCACTGTGCCTGGCCAAGAACTTATTTTAAAAGAGAGAAACTAACAAAGGGGCAGGAGAAAGCGCTTCTAAAACAAGAAAAGAGACAAGGCAGGCAGTTCTTGCAGCGCTGGGAGTGCAGACTGGCTGCTGCCTAGATGTCCTCTTCGCTTGCTCAACAGGTTTTGGAAGTTTTCAAAGGGATTAAGAGAGGAGGTTTGTGCCTTTTTTTTTTTTTTTTTTTACATTAGAAGTTACCTGATTACTTTAAGTCAATTTGTTTTTTGATTCCTCTCCCCAAGTGCAGCAGTTCTCAACTCTGCAGTCCCAGGGACGGGTGCAGCTACTGTGCAAGCCCTGCCCAGGCCCCATTCGGGACCCCACATGGGACCCTTGCTGTGGGCTCACCCTCGGTGCCACCTAAGCCAGTCCTCACTCGGGCCCACTGGGCTTTCTGAGTCTACTCAAGGGTGCCACCAGGCCACCTTCTCTGCTCTTGATGATTCCATCCAGATCTCCTTGGTGAAAGGTTCCTCCCGATCTTAGAGTTGGCAGGAACCCTAAAGGCATTCACCTTCAAAACCTTTCTTTTATGGTCAGGAGACACCTTCAAACATGGCTGAGGTGCCCAGGCTGCAGAGCAGCCCCTCCCTGCACCCTGCCCCTTCCTCCTCTCCACCAAAGTCTATCCTCACCACAGAAGCTTCCCATCACCTTTTAACATGTCCACTGTTCTTACGCTCCGGCCCTGCAAGGTGCTGTCCCTCTACCCCGAACGCCCTCTCTGAAGATCCCATCAAAAGTTTTGTAGCTTTCTTCAACCTTTCTGGCTTCAGAAGTTCTATGCTCTCTACCTAGTCACCTCCTTCAGGGTCTGTCTGCCTAAGGACCTCTCCATACGGACCCAGCACAAATGCCTGGCGCCTATCAGACCCAATGTTCATTGAGAGAGAAAATGCATGGGGTGGAACCCAGGCACCCTCCGTATTTCAGGTAAGGCACTGCAACCTCACACCCTAGATGCTCCTGGCTGCATCGCCACCTTGGAACCTGTGTTGGAATCTCAGTGTTACTGACTCAGCCCCATTTTCTGACATCTGGCACTCAGACCTTGCAATAGCCTGACCTCGTGCAAAGGGACTCGGGGGAGCTTCTCTAAATGGGGCCCACCAAGTCGTTGTGTGCCACCTTGCCAAGGTGCCCTGCCTCTGACAGGTGACCCTGGCCAGTAGCTAGGAAGCACCTGGCTGCCAGTGCAGGTACAGCTTTCTGGGCAGCCCAACGGAAGCTGACAGGCCCTACCAGTTCTTCAGGACTTTCTCAAATTTCTCTTCTTTTTGATCATACAATGCCTGAATACCGACAAGCTTTTACATTTTTTACAAGCATCCCTACGGTCTCATCATCATTCATCTGGTGCTTTAGACCAACCCAGCATCCTCACAAGCCCGTTCACAGTTCAGGGTTTCACGCTCCAAGTGGTCCTCCTCTTTCCACCCCAAGGTCCGGGGAGGAGGATCCAAAGGGAAGGCATGCCCTTAAGCTGGGCCATGCCCCGCCCACTGCCACCCCCCGAACCTGCTCCAGTACCGGCCCCCTCCACCTGGAGATGCACACAAAGGCATTAAGTTTTGGACAGTCTTAGGCTACAGCAATGATTCTTCTGTTACAGAGTTTTAGACATTGGCACCTCTGTGCTGTGGGGACCTGACACCAGCTCCCTGGTTCGGGGGACACTACTAGGCAGGGCTTCCCAGGCTGGTCCTAAGGGAGGCCTGGCCAGCAGCTGTAAGGTCAGGTGAGGCCAAGGAAGTGGTGAAGTGATGATGAAAGAAGGTATCACTATTAAAGAACAACCTGGTCACATAACATGTAGAGTCCCCACTCCCTATAGGCTTCCCTAATCAAACCCTGGGCACAGGTGTTAAGGGAGAAAGACAAAATGTGACAAAAATTCAGGTGGCTGCTGTCACCTGCTCAGTAAGGTCTTAAAGTCTCAAAAGGTCGGAAAAGTCAGACTCTTAACCACATAAAAAAAGCTTGCATCATGCAGAGAGCAAACTCTAACCCTTTTTGGAGTTTACTGAAGGGCATCACTACCGCAGAGGAGAAGAGAGGCAGGCAGGTGCAAGAAACGCTGCTTTGGTTTTTAAATAAATCCTTTCCCACATGTGCTCTGCCACCCTGGCATCTCCAGAGTCCAGCAGATGCTCGGAGCACCCCAGCAGGCATCCTGAGGCTCTTGCCCACAGGAGGCTCCCCAGACGGAAAGTGCTCCCACACTTCCCAGATGCTTCAGGCATCGCTCTGGTTCCTGCTCAAGGAGCAGACTTGGGACTGCTCTGTGTGCACAGAGTTGGAGGGGTCACACGGGTCCAGGCTGCCTGTCTTGAAAGCACAGAGTCAGCCGACACAAGATGGATGGGGAAGAGTCTAGGCAATGAAAACCTGATCGCCGGCCAGAATCAGAATTCTCTGATTCTTCAAGATAGCCTTGGCTCCATTTCAGAAACTAGCCAAGGAGCTGCTGAAGGATGAGGCTGTTGTCCAGCCACCTTCCCAGAAGCAGAGATCTTCTTCCCACTCCAAAGTCCATGGAAATGAAAACACAAACTCTGTGTGGGCAACCGCTGGTCACAAAGCCAACCCAAACATACCCATTTTCCTGACCGAGGCTGTCCTCAAGGCCCGCACCCAAGGGAAGGTGTCACACTCGCAGTTGTAACAATGCTGATGGGGGAGGAGCTCTCAGGGTGGGGAGCAGGGAGCTGTGACCTACCAGAAGTACCACAGCCTCTGTATGGAGAGGGCCCGCACGCAGCACCTGGAGCCACAGCAGTCCTCGTATGAGCGGCATCTGTGGAGAGAGGCACAGGTGGTCAGCACCGAGTTGGATGCAGCCGCCGAACCAGCGTGAGGCCCAGGCTGGGCTTCAGTGTGGTCATTCTTGAAGGAAGAAATCAGTAAGAGCAAAACAGACAGAGCTGCTTCCACTGCATTTCACAGATCCAGCAGGGCAGAGAGACATCGGCCCGTGGTCCAGAGCAAGGTGCTGAGGCGGGCACAGTCAGTGCGATGCAAAGCCCCGCGTTTACCAAGCACCCTGTGTGCCAAATCCCAACGGATTCCTTCTGGGAGGAGGCATGACCAAAGACAGGCATTAAGCCTACGAGGAATGCGGCTGGGGCAGGCTCCGAGGCAGCCCAGCACCTGTACAGCGCTCATCTCTGCTGTCTCCAGTCCCTGACTCTGGGGAAAGAATGGCAATACCCCACCACGTCCACTGAGGCGAAAAGCAGAGGCTGTGGAGTTGCATAAACTGCAGGTGTGGTCCTGGTCCTGCCATTTACTAGCTGTGGGACTCTGGTGTGCCTCAGTTTCTCCATCAGCAACACGGGTGGAATGGCAGGGGCACTGCACAGCACTGATTCAAGCTTTAAGGCCTTCATCACCATATCAAGTGCTGATGGCATTATTACTGCTCACGCTGCCTCCCTCCCCCACCCCCCAACGTGTGTGAGGTGTCCAGGCCCCTGGCAGGGCACAGCTCTCGGGGCTGTGCTCAGAAGCAGTTTCCAGAGAGCTGCCTGGGCATGGGCCCTTGCACAGGTCTCGGGTGAGGCACTCAGTGCCCTCCACATCTCTGCCCTTCCCCAACTCTGTGTCCTCCCTGAAGAGAGAAGATGCCACAAAAGCGCAAACCCCTCAGTTTTACAGAGAAGTTTTCACTAGAGCATTCTGAACCCAACTGGATTGGCAGGGATGAGGGGCAAGCCATTTCTCTACAACAGGCGTCCCCAAACTACGGCCCGCGGGCCGCATGCGGCCCCCTGAGGCCATTTATCTGGCCCCCCGCCGCACTTCAGGAAGGGGCACCTCTTTCATTGGTGGTCAGTGAGAGGAGCACAGTATGTGGCGGCCCTCCAACGGTCTGAGGGACAGTGACCTGGCCCCCTGTGTAAAAAGTTTGGGGACGCCTGCTCTACAATATTAAACTACTACCTAATTGTGATCTAGGTTTCTGCCAGTTTTTCCTTTAAAAAAAAAAAGGAGCTGGGAGAAACATACAATTCAGTCCAAGGTCTCGGGCACTGAATGTGTAGATTATTGCAGTACAGATAGGGTTATTTTATGTAGAAGCGGTTAAGAAAACTAGTTAAGATGCGGAGTGAGATCACAGTGGCCTGAACGCAGCAGACCCGAGCTTCAAAGCTGCTCTTCCCTGGTTCTGCACCCAGTGCGCCCGAGGCTCCCGGATGTGGTGCTGCCTCTCCAAACACCCAGCACACAGTGGCAGCTAAATCTTCTATTGTTTCAAGGACAAACTGGGCTGAGAGACACTCCCTCCCCACTCCAACCCAACACCATTCCACAGACAATATGGCAGCATTTATGTCCAGTCTTCCCCCGGCCCATGAACATGAATGCCTACCCACTACCTAAAGTGTTGTGATTTCCATGAGATGCTCCCATTGGCTCCCACTGAGAGGTACCTACATGAGTGCTCACGAATGCTGCTGGTCCTGGCTGGGCGCAGTGGCTCACACCTGTAATCTCAGCACTTTCGGAGGCTGACGTAGGTGGATCAATCACTTGAGGTCAGGAGTTCAAGACCAGCCTGGCCAACATGGTGAAACCCCGTCTCTACTAAAAATACAAAAATTAGCTGGGTGTGGTGTGCGCACCTGTAGTCCCAGCCACTCGGGGAGCTGAGGCAGGAGAACTGCTTGAACCTGGGAGGCAGAGGTTGCGGTGAGCCGAGATAGTGCCACTGCACTCCTGCGACTCCACGCATCCAGCAAGCAACCACGAAAGGGCTACTAGGAGCCTGCTCTGTGCTTTCCTGAGAGTGGAGCAGGGAAAACCCAGGGGAAACCCCTGTTGGGAGGGGCCTTCTCTCTAGAAGGGAGAAAAATAGTAAACAAGAAAATATGAACTGTGTTAGACAGTAGTAAGTTCTTCTATGGGGAAAAATAGAGCCGGCCCTGGCAGGTGGAGACCACGAGGTAGCAGGGTGCTCAGGGAGGATGTGTGCAGCAGGTGACGTCTGAACAGAGAACGTGCAGGAATCCAGTCTGGCAATGAGGGAAGCTGGCACGGGGCCTCAGCCCTACTGCTCCTGGCTCCACGGCTGCGTGCTGGAGCACAGGGTGTGAGTGAGCACTAGGAGAGTGAGACACCTTCGGGGCTGCTGAATCTGGGCCAAAGCCCTGTACCAACAGGACCTTCTGCAGTTCTTCCGGGCCTTTCCCTAGAATCTCGGTGGTCTTAGGTGACCCATGTGTGTGTGCCTATGTGTGTGGAAGAGAAGGGAGCAGTTGAGGGAGATGAAGGACTTCTTGCTTTTAGCATCGGTGGAGTTTAGACAATTTACTGTAAACTGAAAGAGGTGTGACCGTTTCCTCTCGTGAGTGTGCAAAGACAGGCATCCTCAGCACTCTGGTGAGGTACACGGTGAGTGCGGGAGTGTGGAAGGCAGAACGCAACCATGGCCCCAAGAATGGCACCCCTCAGAGAACACACCCTGCATAAGCCCCTCCCCTTTGGTGGGCAGGACTCTGAATATGGGATGGCCACTCCCAGGATCACAGAACATTAAATGAGAAGGTGTGTTATCTAAGTCTCTGCCCTTGCAAACTGGAAATTCTCCTGCTGGCTTTGACACAGTTTTAATAGCAGCCATGTGGGAGGGCCACGTGGTCAGGACTGAGGGTGGTCTCCAGGTGCCAAGAGCAATCCCAGCAGGACCTCGGTCCTACAACCACAAGAAACCGAATTCTCCCAACAACCCAAATCAATTCAGGAGGACTCCAAGCTCCAGGTGAGCACACAGTCCAGCTCACTGCTTAATGTCAGCCTCGTGAGGTGGTCCTGAACCCAGAACCCGACTGTGGTTTCCCAAACTTGACACCTACAGAGCTGTGCAGTAATAAGGGTGTGGTGTTTCAGTCTGCTACATTTATAGTGATTTACTAAATAGGAACAGAGTCAAGGAGAATACAGCTTACAGGTTATGAGCACTTCTTACCTCACACCAGGTTATGTGCTTCACAAACGTCTCAATTTTGAAAGCATCCACATACAAGGTAAGTATTATTAGCACCACATTTGAAATAAGCTTAGAAGCAAGACATCAGGGATGTTGCACCTCCAGCCCGGGTCACGTCTGCAGAAGCCAAGAGTGGACTTGGCCAGCATTTCAGGAAAGCATTTTGCACAGACGCTGCCTCTCCAATAACATGGAGCCTTCCACGACAAAAGGTCACCTGCTCTATCCCTACTTGATTTTCCTATTTTTCAGCCCTGCTTTTATAAACTTCCGTGGAAATTTCAAAAGCCATGGTAACAGAGACAATATGTGAAAAATAGAGATCCAAGGTCAAATGGCTGGAGGTCCCTGAGACAGGACCCCCAGACGGGAACTCAGCAACCACTCTTTAATAATGCCTGCATGGTTCTTCGTTCAGCTTGGAACTGCATATTGACCAGAAAGATTCCCAGAAAAGCCTGTATCACGTGATGTCAGTAATGCCCTACGGTTAGCAGATAACTTAATCACAGAGACAAATAAAGTAAGATGTGACATTAGGCGAAACGACGGTGTTGACTTGCAGTGAACGGCAGATGCTCCTGCAACATTAGCTGATTTCAGCTGCTGTGAGCCCACTGGGAGATTGTGGAACCATGTTATATGGCTGCATTTTACAAAGGTGAAAAACAACTGAAAAAAAATCAGGCCGGGCGCGGTGGCTCTAGCCTGTAATCCCAGCACTTTGGGAGGCTGAGGCGGGTGGATCACAAGGTCAAGAGATCAAGACCATCCTGGCCAACATGGTGAAACCCCATCTTTACTAAAAAATACAAAAAAAATTAGCTGGGCGTGGTGGCACGCGTCTGTGGTCCCAGCTACCCGGGAGGGTATTGGCTGAGGCAGGGGAATTGCTTGAACCCGGGAGGCGGAGGTTGCAGTGAGCCGAGAAGGCGCCTGGCACCTGGCAACAGCGCAAGACTCTGTCTCAAAAAAAAAAAAAAAAAAAAAAAAAATCAGCGGATATCACGTTTGTGAAACTTGTATTTTGGTCAGACATCCGCACACATGCACAAAAATGTACGTGTGCCAGGCTGGCACATGAGGCACCCTTCTTCACAGCCACTGCCAGGGAAGCCCCGAGCGGACGGGTTCAAGCTCCTGCTGTGTCCAGGACTGGCTCCTTCCGTCCTCCTGGGAGGTTCTGGGTGGCCCTCAGGCTCAGGCCCCCCAACTATGAGGTCACTTTCTGCTGTCAGTAGTGCTGGGCTATGGTCCTTCTGCCCTTGTCTTCTGTCTAGGTGACACTGGCTTTAATCAAATGGCTATTCCCATTTTTGCCCCTAATTCTACTATACACTGTCCTGAAGTGATCAAATTCTAGGAGACACGACTCTCATGAAGACGCAAATGGGACACCCTGGCTCACTGCCTACCATAAACACCCTCTGCGGCGCGTGCTGACGGTGAGTGAGGGGTGAGGAGGGTGGGGCACAGAGGCGACAGACGCCTGCAGCTTGGGGAGCCCACCATGACCCTCTGAGCTCCTGCTGGTTCCCTCCCACTGCTCCAACACCCTCTGCCACCTGTGATGCGCTGTGTCTCTCCCTCTCAGGTGTCACCCCTGACTCTAACAGCAGCTGCCCCAGCTCCCAGCACAGCCAGTGCTGAAGAGCTCTTAATACTGGTCTCCTCAGTGCTGGCAGCCATGCACTTCATATAAAAGAGGAAAACAGGTATACAATAATACATTTGGTGACTGAGTCATCTTTCGTGAGCTAAATTTGCTAAAATGCTTCCCTTTCAGCTTTACACTTACAAGGAAGCAT